ATCGATTATTGTGTTATCTGTACAATAACACCCAGTGATATTTCTGATATTATGGAGATCCTGAGGTTCTAACATTTTGTTACCGGAACAGACCATTTGTGTAACTAGTTTGCAGAGTGCAGAAGTGATTCTGATCTATTGTGTACCAATTGCAATTTGAAGATGATCCAAGAAAGGACCACTTGTAGAAGGATGTTATTTGTTGAAAACAGTTTTAATTTATTCACAAAATAGCTAGAATATTCAGTGGTCTCCCCAGCATTAAAGCAAGTGGGTACAACACCCACCTGAGATTTTAAAAACAGGCTTGCACCAGATGCACCCACCTGAAAATCCATTTGCACCCACTTGAAAATGAGAAGAATCATGGAAAACTGGCATAATTTGACCAATTTTGGTCTGAATTGTGAAAATGAGAATTTTGCACCTACTTGACAAAAAATCCTAGGGAGAACACTGATATTTCACATGTCTTTAAGTGTTTCTATCAAAAAATGCTATAATGTTGTCATCTTATGGTATTATATTGTCAAAAGACGGAATAAACACAAACATTTATTTATATCGATCCTCTTAAAAGGAGAGAAACCTGGCTAATGATCTATAAAATTAAGAGCTGGCCATAATAGCTAAGACATAATAATTACTACACCCGATAGTTGAAACAACACTAAGGTTCAATACCTTTCACGGCCTTATTGATCCAAGTCGTCGACTATAAACTATTCCCGTATTTTCCACGAAATGTTTACGATGAATTCTTAGGTCACATCCTCTATGATTGGTCATTAATCATTGTGACATTACCCTGGGACTTTACATAACCTTATACAAGGGCTTCTAATACTTTTACCTTTATAAATTGCGATTAGATTAGAAGATAGGGATCATAAATCACCTAAGGGATATGAAACAAATGATTACATTGAGCTCGCATACTTTCAAGATGCACCTGAAGGAAGATTCATCCATCATAGTTATGAAGACATCATCCCACTTTTCAAAATCTCAATCTGGTTTTCTGTTTCTGCACTTTATCTTCATAAATTTTGAAAGAATTAGTTATACATGTACAAACTGTATAGTAATTTATTTATAGGCATTCATAGTATTGACATAATAACCATTTACCTTGTAAATATAATAACTCTCTATTTTCACTCTAGTACCATATTTTCTATTTTAGCTGTATGGCAGACATTTTCAGGATTTCCATGGAATATTGCAATTGATATGTCACATAAACATCACCATAGAAATTCTGTCACAACAATAGCATGTGACCTTCTTATGAACCTCTACTCTGCAAGGATGTCATATAGCCTTGATGCAAGTTCTCTAGAATCTACGTAATTTACCATATTTGATCTTTCGTGACTATAGCATCTGTCTAAAGTGGGTCAATTACTGTTTTTTTCAAATTCTTAAATAGGTGCAATCCACTATTAGCAAGGTAGAATGGATGCAGTATCTTTTTAATACTATGAGAAATATCAAAATACTTTATTGGGAATATCTTTTGAGTTGACCCCTAGCTTCCCTAAAAGTGGTGATTGATTGTTTCATGTTGTCAATATAGAAATGTTTTATTCATTAGAAGTAAATTGTTGGTTAAGTCCACTTAGGAAATAATATCAGTTATATGAGGGGGGGGGGGGGTACTAAGCTGAAACACATCTCTTTGGGATTTAAATGATGAGGCAGTAAGGATAGGGCTGCTAAATAAAAACTGACTAATCTATTCAGAGGTTGGTTTAAAACAAAACTATGCTCAAGGTAACAGATTATGGATATGATCACATCTACCTAACAATCATCCTCCATTGTTATATGCCAGAAATTATATTACATTATTCCAAATAATAATTCAAAATGGTGATAAAAATTGAGAAAATCTTTCCAGCCTACTTCAATGACAACTAATAAACCATAAGCCCACAGTACTATAACATTGCTTTTGTTGTTCTATGTTTTGTACCTATAGCCTCCAGAACATAAAAGTGATATATCAGGATTTATGATGACAAAAATATCTCAGAATATCTATTTTCAGATACTATATTGTTGATATCTGTCACAAGAGGATCATAGCTCTTGATACAGTTATTATTAATTTTTCAAGGAGTTGGTACGAGTAGGAATCTAAATGGCAATACACTAATCAATTGGATTCCATAGCATTTCTGCTCATTTATCAGATTTGTATAAGTACAATGCATTAATATCCAGGTATCTATAATAATCATAGCCGTAAATGAACAACACGTCATTGCAGAAACATGATAGCCTTTAACCGGACGTACGTATCCTAAGTCCTTTGTGCTGAAAAAGTATATAACCCCATTATCTCTAACAGAAAGTTCATCTTCTAGGTCTAGGATAGATTTCAAATAGATTTTGATTCTTCAAAAGAGAGGTTCGAATAGGTTGATTAAATGAGCTGCCTAATCGATCAGCCACTGGACTTTATCAACTCCAACCAAAGGTTGCGCTAGCTTTTTTGAGGATTATTAAAGTCTTATAAGCATAAAAACTATAAAAATATCTATCCTAGTATGTACATGTAAAAGCGTAGTAATTACTACTAGAATCTGGGCCTAAGGGTGCTGCTAAAAATGAAACACGTATATTAGTTCTGATTTAGTCTAGTAAGTTGTCTAGAGTGCTATGGTGCCTAGACAATTATTATCATATCTGTTATCTTGCAGAAATAATAGATAATTGATCAATCTAGGCTTGTATAATAGACTGAACTTCTCATGTCGCCTACTCTTAAAACTCCATGATGATACATACAGTAAAGCCTGTATATATTAAACATTTTTTTGGCCAAGAAAAGTTGGTTGGTGATCATTACTTAGAGGGTAATTTATACAGAAAATATGCGGAGGAAGGGTGTCTACTAGAAACAGGTGTTCACAAGAGAGAGAAAGAGAGAGGTGTTCACTAAGACAGGTTTTACTGTATACATAACTATATTTTTACAACTTTGTACATTTGGTTCATTATATAGGGGTGCATTATCACTTTTGACCAATTAAAAGATAGATAACTATGCTTTTTACGACTGAGCAAAATAATTAAAACATAATCAATCAAGGAAAAATGCAATCAAGAAAAAACATGAACTTATATGAACAACTATAAATATTATCATTTATAATGAGACAAACAGATTCTTATACATTTTTAAGTGTGACCCCTAGATGTTACCTCAGCAAAAAAGTTATTGCCCGATTCTTTTCCTTTCAACAATATTGTAAAAATGTTTAGTTATGTGTGAAAAGATTTTTACGCTTGAAACAATGAATTTTTGGTGATCAATTACATTTGATTTTCTGCATGTTAGCCCTAAAACATGAGCTACATCTCATGAAATATAATATTCACAAATTATTGAGCCCCGGGCTAAAATTCTTTAGCTAGACACAACCCTTACACCAAGAAATAATGCAATTTGAAAGTTCTATCACATCTTCAGGTCTGCCAAATAGCAAAATAGAAACTTAGCAAGATTTGAAAGAAAGGAACATGATATTGTAATCAAGATAGAAACTATCAACTATGATATATATTGCTTTTATGCCTCTCAAACTACACTAACTTGAGTATAAAATATGAGATAAAAATGCCTTTAGATATTAGTTTTCTAAGTTTCCTTTTCACAAACATACCATTTCAATTTTTACCCTGAGTGTCTAGTGCATTATGGGGTAGATGAAGCTTTGTTGCAAGAAGTAAAATAAAGCTATTAGGAAGAGTATTGTGTATAGTGGCATCTAAAATGTAATCATATAACTAACTTGTTTGTAATTCCAAAGCTCAATATCATCTATATTCTTTAAAAAGATACAACACTACTAACATACTATCATAGTAAGAATATAAAGTCTGAAAATATCCAATATCAAATAATGAATAAAGAAAGTCATTTTGATATCTTCCATTTCAGCTGGAAGAGTAACCAAGTTTAAATAATAAACCTCATTCATTGTGAGCATCTTGTAACTATAACCAGTGCTCCATTAATGAGCCAATTCTCAAGCAATTCATAAGTTCCACATTCCACTATAAAAACATTTTCTTGATATTCACAAAATGAAATCTTAGAAAGAGCACTAAATAATATGACTATTATGAGAAGGTTTCTATACGGAATCTGAGTGTTATTACAAATAATGGGATTTACTAAGAAATACACCGCAGAAGGGGACGTCATTTTTCATTGTTTCCAGCCACTTATGAAAATAGAGCATTCAGCTAGGGTAGCTCCTTCCCTGTTGCTATGATACAAATTAGTAAATGTTGAAGGGGAGGAATTTCAATTTATCCTCCATTAAAAGAAAAGAAAATTACCCAAATTGTTTCTCCAGGTAACATCTTAATACAAATATAGACAAACATTCAGTCAAAATATGGAATAATTACTCACTAAAATTCAAAAATTTACAAAAAATATGAATGTCAATATACAGTATAACTGAATCAGCTTCGAACTTTCAACATTCTCGAGGCATGGGCTTCATTAAAATTCTGGCAAGAGGCAAGACAAATTAAATCAACAGACAGAATCAATTGGGAATTATAATTATTTTAACATGGAAATATATGTAGTTAAGACATTACTCAAACCATCAAATAACTTTGATAAAAACAAAAAGATAGAATCACATGTTGTCCGCTGCGTATGAAACCCCTGAAAGAGCATTTATTGAGATCCAAAGTAAACTGAAATTCTGTAAGCCAGTCTTTTCTCAATTTTTATGAATAACTCATTGTATGATATAGGTCTGAATTAGTGACAAAATGGTAGGAAATATCCCTTATATACTGCACAAAACACATGAAAACATGTACTTTACATGTGTTTTACACCAGAGAAAGGCCAATTTTGTAAATATACGTAATGGCAGACTTCAAGTAAATGATGTTGGTTTAATGAAAAAAATTACTGTAACAATATTTTACAGATCCCCCTATGTAATGAAACATTTACTGACCCTGTCGGTTAAGTCCTTCGCTATATCAAGATAACGTTGGCAGCAAACTATCGCTTCATCAAATTTTTCCAGAACTTTTAATGTGTTACCAAGGTTACCGCTTGCTTTTGCTTCGCCTAATTTGTCCCCAGAAGACCTGGAAATATGAAAAAAGATATTCAAATATATTCAAATAAATATATACAAAATTTGTATAAATAAAAAAACATAAACTTATCTATAAGATCATTAACCCTTTCACCACTATCAGGGCTACATGACAATTGGCACATAACTGAGACAGTAACAGGTTATTAGAAATGTTCTGACCTTGTACCCCAACAGGAAATTTTGTTCAAAAGTGCAAATAAGAAGTGCATATAATGGGATAAATTGATATTTCACAGAGATAATACAAAGTTGTAAATTCTTTTCATGATGGCAGACATAAAAACTCAATGATACATGCATCAACAGGTCAAGAATATGATGGTGACAGCTATACAGCAGGAGATCCAAGACGTCATTTCCATTGTTCTTTCGGCAAAATCGCGTAGTAATCTACGGTGATCAGTCCATTTAAATTTCACGCTTTTGAACGTCATGGTGTATACATGCATTTCTAATCGATCATATCTCAGTCAATATTTATCATTATATTATAAATTTGATAATTAATGAAAGCTTATTACAAGGGCATTATGTACGTGAATTAATTATTTCGATCCGATAAAATACCACCAAGATACGGGTGCTAACTTGTTGACATATTTTTCATTAAAAATGCAGAAATGTGTATCATTTTCGCGCGTTAATTAGGCTATTAAAGCAAGTCGGGGCAAAAAATGTTTTTCACTCATCATTTAGCCCACATTGAGCTCTTTCTAATGGTAAAATTGATTTTTTCTGAAACCCCTGAAGACAAATTTCTGCCAACTTTCCGTAACGACGAGTGAAAATTCATGGTTTTTCCCGCAAACCAATGACGTCGTACTTCTCGATTTTTATATCAAGATTAGATTTGATACGCGTTTGATATTTGTTCACGGTCATATCTCGGTCAATATTCGTCATTGGATGATAATTTTTATAGTAAATGAAAGCTTATTACAAGGGTATTGCGCATGTGGATTAATCATTTCGACCCGATTAAATACCACCCAGCTACGGATACAAATGTGTTGACATTTTTTCAGTGAAATTCACTGAAAATGCAAAAATGTGTATCATATTCGCGTGTTAATTGGGCTATTAAATCTCGTCAGATTAAAAAATGTTTTTCACTCTACATTTAGCCCACAATAAGCTCTTTCCAATGGTATAATTGCTTTTTTCTGAAACCTCTGAAGACAAATTTCTGCCAACTTTCTGTAACGGCGAGTGAAAAATCATGGTTTTTACTGCAAACCAATGGCGACGTCGTATTTCTCGATTTTTATACCAAGATTTGATACGCGTATGATATTTCTTCACGGTCATATCTCGGTCAATATGCATTAATGATTCATGAATCTAATACTACATAAAAGAGTATTACAAGCACATCGCATTGTTGGACTTATTACATATGATCCGATGGAATACAGCCAATTAAACCAGGTTTTTCTGTTACCGTTGATCTTCACGCCAAATGCGTAAATATCACTCGTTTTAGCGCATTAATTGAGGCATAAAACATATCCAGGAAAGAATGTGTTGGTCATCAGTAAGAATTCATTTCCAACTTTGAACAATGAAAGTCAAAATACCCGGCTTTTACTTTTACGTAGTGAGGTCGGCGGCCGTCTCTATTTCTCGATTTGTCCAATGAGGGAATTGCAATCATTGCTCGCTCTGTATTTAAATCTATTTTATATCATGACCAGACACCGGATATCACGACGATGAATAAATGTCCGAATTAAGCGAATTATTTCTAAGGCATGTTTTATTCGAAAATGATCAGCATACGTATACATATTCATTCATAGCATAATGACCCGTGGTTAGTAGTCTCGGATGAGCTGTGAATGCCATCTATGCCCGGCCTCAATTCAACAATGAAGGTGCGCCCCTAAATCAACACGCAATTAAAAATCCTCCAATAAAACCGCTATCAGGCTATGCAAATATAGATTTTCAAAAACACTTATCTCGACAGATCAGTTTAAAAAAAGACATTGTACTGGTAATTTCGGCATTATGTTCCGAGGAGCCACTCACCAAATAGCTATAATTTGTTAATTGGGCATCCTCAGTCTGTCAGCCGCTTAGCGTATGGATCAGTGACGCTGACCGCATATTGCACCTTTTATAATTTGTAGCAGTTTGCACAACGTCGACGTGCAACTTGAGATTTCTTACTCTTGAGTGCAAGGAGGACTGGCTCTCAGAATTTCATTTCTTGTGAGTTTTGGAATGTTTCGTTTGGAAATAAGACCAAAATTCACGATTCAAATGTTGATGTGAACAAAATGGCGGTTGTTGGAATTCGAATCTTGAAGCACGACATCCCCATATATGAGACAGAATATGTGTGTTGCACTCTGGGAGGCAATCCTCTTTGCCCTTGGGAAAATCAATAGTGCATAGACTTTATTTATTTAAGAATTGAAAGGAAGTGAAGTTAACGATATATACAATTATACTTTCTGCCAAAAAAGCACATTAATTTCGTGGGTATTAAGGGACCGCGAGTTGTTTATAAAATGAAACTGGGGAGCTTGTTCGTACATTCCGCTTGTGTTTTTCATCTAAAAAATATCAATACACTTTAAAACACAATGTAACAATACTCGGGTGTTAATCCATATATAATCCTTGAAAATGAGAAATATTTTTTAGGATTATATGGTGCAAACTTAGTCAATTAAATGTTTTAAAGTGTATCATTCTACAAACAATTCGAGGTCCTTTACCCTACAAAACTCCCATACCCTTCTGTTTTCCTGGCGTTTTCACGAACCTTCCCTGTTCCACCTAACAAGACTCTTTCCCCCCATTGCTATACCCGTATACTGCCCATAGATCTGTGCACAGGAGTTTCACGCGGAAGATGAACTTATTCTAGGAAATATTGTGGAAAAATTACACAGCAAATCATTCCTCAACTATATACACTGACCGTTGAATGCAATTATTCATATATTTCATTTCATCAATAATCATAACATCATGACGCTAACATGCGAGCATGCTGACTTGGTTTTAATTCTAAAAATTAAGATATGTGCAGTAATATAGAACCAAATAATATTCATTCATAATATGCTAGGTTATAGAACAAGTACTCAGTAATATGTCTATGTGGAGATCAATTCTGAATAAAAAGAGGGGTGGACACCCAGAGCTTTAGCGATGACTGATATATTAGCCTCTTGCTACCACCTTTGTTTGCGCAAATTCTCACGAGTTAGTTTTCTAATATTACACGTTGCGTGATGTTTCTTCATCTTGATGTGAAAATCCAAGCTATGATATTGGTTAACACCCCAGAAATAACAGTATTATTTGAAGCGTTGTTAGAAAATTATTGGTTAACACCCCAGAAATAACAGTATTATTTGAAGCGTTGTTAGAAAATTTGAATCCGCAATTTTTGTTTATCGATTTGGACCAATCAGAGGTGTACGAATTGTACGTCATCTCAATACATGTTTACATTATAAGTGTAGTCATCTTTGAACTCTGGGGCTAATCCACCCCTCGGTTCTGAAATATATATGCATGAATACTCAGTAAACATGCGTATGGTAATATTTCTCAAATGTAAAGATTCAGTTCTATGTACATTCTCTCAATGACAAATAATGATCTAGACATTCTTATCAGAAGCTTATTCCATGGCTCAAAGGTTCAAACTAACAATTATGCTATTAGACAGTGTTGTGTATGTAGTGCAGAATCACAGAAGTGTAGTATAGCAGACAGCTCCAAGAGATACCTCAATCTCCCAATTCTTTATGGGTCAAGATTTACTACATCTTAATTTTCAACATAACACAAAACATTTTTTCAATATAACACAAATCATTTTAATTTTTTCAACATAACAAAAATCATTTTAATTTGTTGAGCTACTCCAGAAGATCATACTACTGCACATATTATCCACTGTCTATTTAAACATTTCATTGAAACGAATCAGGAAGACTGGCAGTGTCATTTGGAACTAATTCTCTATTAGTTTATGTTCATTATAGAATGAACTATATTCAGGTTTTGAATTCATGGAGGGAATTTTAGAACACATTCTGTAGTTTTCCTTCTTTTGTATCTGCAATTTTGCTGGAGGTCAACTTCGTCAGGATATCTTCAACTCCAGAGAATATGATGGCTAGCTTCTCCTCTACTGCCATGGGAACTGCAAAGATATATCATAAACATAAAAGAACAGGTCCATTTAACAGCCTATTGGTCCACTTTTTCCAAAAAACTCATTCTTCCATTTACTTTTAAACCTGATTGCAAGTTGTAGATAAACCTTTTTTCTTGAGATGTGCAATTTCAAAAAGTGGCATTAGTTTTCAGTTTCTTTGAAAAATTGATGGTAAGAACCCCTATCACAAGGTTGTCTGAATATGGGTACACACTATGTTAACCACCAGAATAATATCAAAACTTATCATTGTATAGAATTTACTATATGGAACATATGGCATACAAGCATTCGGAGTAGAATATTAACAAAATCCAGCTACGTATGAAGTTTACCAATGCAAATCTGGAAAACATTGTCATTTTTTGTTCACTTTGTTATCAAATTTTAGCATGGTGCTCATTCCCTTTCATTGAAAATTTAACCATCAGCCCACACTCCCACAAAAAATATATTGAAACTGTATAATGCAGAGACTGTAAAGTAGCTTCCCTGCAAATATCATTTTTGTGGGAGTGTGGGCTCACCACCAAAACTTAACTTTTGTGATAAAAATAAGGCTGACTTGTTTATGTTTTCAATATGGCTGCTAACCTGGGCATACATGTACACTACATAATTGCATGTACAGATTAGGCCATTCAAAATTAATTATATGTTGGCATTGAACTGATGAAGGGCCTCATATTAAAAACTACAAAACCTTAACTTATTTAAAGGGTTTTATATTTTATTTAATAGTACTCTGTACTTGTAATGCATATACATGACAAAGGGAATTGTGATCTTGAATTATTATC